TGGGATTAACAGAGGTTGTAGAAGAAAAGATTTTACTGGATAAAATAGCAGTGGAGGAAGACTTGAATAAGGATTCCAAAATGGACTTGAAAGAAATGCCAGATTGTAAGAGAGACGTGGAAGATATGGAAAAAGATGCTGTGGATGTGAAGATGGACTCAAAGTTGCTTGATTATGAAAATGATACGGAGAAAAAGTTGTAATGGACTGGAAGAATGACTTTGAGAATTATCCTATTTTGGACATACAGAAGGGAAATACCAAATCTCTGAAACCTTTTCTGAAAATAAATAGGAAGAGAATGATAAGAGATTGTTATTTGGGGTTTTATTTGGAGAAGAGACTGAAGACTGAGCTTTTCAAAAACAAGAGAAAGGAATTCAAAGTGGATTTATCAGATCAAGGTTAAATTGTTCATGTTTTGATCTTGGATTGTTAATACTGAATTTTGAAGAGACTGAAGACTGAGCTTTTCAAAAACAAGAGAAAGGAATTCAAAGTGGATTTATCAGATCAAGGTTAAATTGTTCATGTTTTGATCTTGGATTGTTAATACTGAATTTTCTTTTTCTGACCAGGACTTTAAGATAATTATTTATACCTGTAAAAGTGATTTGTTTGGTTTAGTTTAAAACACATATGTAATTGTTATTAGTCTTTTCTAGGGGAGAGATCCTTTACGTTTCATTTCTCAGAAAAAACTTAGAAGTTAAAATGCAAAATAGACCTATTTGTTTAAGCTTAAAATATATAGTTTATTGTTACTGGCACTCTTAATGCTTTTGCTGATTAGATTGGTTGTTGAATATTTTTTATAATTTGGTTATTGTTTAGGGCTGAGAAAGGGAATGAAGAGGGCTTTTTTTTTTTAGTAATACTGGAGAAGGTGTTAAATTACTATTAATGCATATACTTGTTTGGAGGGAGGGGGAAGCTGGCTGGCTGGCTGGCTTGCTTTCTTTCTATTTGTAGGTTTTTTAGTTTTGTATTAGTTTATATATATATAAACTTTAATAAAAATATTTTTAAAAAAGGAAAATGTATTGCTGGTAATAGCCTGCAGACATTTCTATAATCCTTCCAACTCCATCATCCAAAAGGTGTTGCTGCCCAATTTGTCCAAGAAGATAAAGACTGTTCTATCAGATTCTCAAAATATTCAGTACAACCAAGAATGAAAATACAAAAGGGGAAATGAACTGCCCTAGACATGGCAGTTTAATATGTTCAGTGTCTGGAATTCACTTTGTCACTTTACTAGGTACATGTCTATAGAACCCTGTAAAACTCCTGACACTTACCTCATTACGAGAAGCTGCAGCACGGTGTAACGGGGTTAGCCAAAGAGTGTCCTTTGCATTGACGTTAGCACCTGTCCAAGGAAAATAAAGGGGATGAAGCAAGTTCTCTCATGCATGGTTGATTAAGAGAAGAAAACAAACATTATATTAAACTGGTTGAATAGCAAGCCTTAGACTTTTATCTTAGCAATAAGACCCTTTTAATTCTTAATCTCAGTGCTTATTTAACAAATGGCTCTTTCACAGGGAAACTACAAACTGATTAATAAAAAAAGAATAGTAGTACTGCATTTAGGAGACATCCCTGTCTTTCAAAAAACATGGCTGAAAATTAAAATTGTCCTATTACGTGCCAAACATTCTATATGAAAAATCAGCATTATTGGGGGGAGGGGGGAATGAATTACATTTTTAAAAGATGTACCTCCCAGAACTAACTCCCACAGTTTACCACAAAATTCCTCTTAATTATCAGTAACATGCTCAAGAAGCAAGCCTAATAAAGGGATGGAAAGGACAAAAGCTCATTCCAATCTTCATCCAGATTTTAAGAAAAGAGAAAAATGATGTGGGTAAATGTTGCTGGCAGTCTTCAAAAACTATAGCTTGCTTTAGATTATCATGAGCCAATTTTTTTTTATGGCAGTTAATTTGGAAAGATTTAGCACATGCATCAAAAACCATCTGTGTGGGCTCCACTGTCCAGAAGGCTAATTCAGCCCTGCAACCTGCACAGGAAGAGTTACAGTATACAGAGCTATCAGTTTTAAAATAGCTTCACTAAACAGAATGAGAACATTTCCATAAATCTCTGCTGCTTGAGAATCATGACTAGCAATAAGAATATTACTAACAGCAATCTGCTAGCTACAGCACTTTTAATGTGGAAAGCACTATAATGCTTTATGAGTTCTCATTCGTTCTTTGTGACCATCCGAATAACAGATCATTATATTTCCTGTTTTAAAGACTGCCAGAGAAGTGTGCATCTGGGTCTTCCATACTTAAAGCCAACAATGGGACTAAAGAAACTTGATTACTACCCCATTACTATCCCTGACAGTTTGGCCAATGATAGATAAGCATGCCCAAAATAAAATAAAAAATGGGACCAGTTCCCCATTCCTACCTGATAATATTAGGAGTTCAACAATAGGGGTGTCCCCTAAGTATGCAGCTGCATGCAAAGGGGTTCGTCTCTCTTGGTCCTGATTTGGGGAAACAAGATAAAAATAATCAATATACATTTTAAAAATCGTGTCTTCTAGATTCTACATAATCTAGGGATTTTCTTGTCTGCAGACAATCACCTTGTTCTGCTTACATCTGCAATATATTTCAACAATTTATATTACAAGAGTCAAAAACAGTGACTAAACCCAATGGTGGATTTTACTTATTTACAGGTAGTCCTTGGCTTATGATAGCAATTGGGACTGGAATTGCTGTTACTAAGTGACATGGTCATAAAGTGCAACATTATGTGACAGTGCCACTTAGCAGCGGCAATTCCAGCACTCCTGGTTGCTGTTGTTAACTAAGGACCGCACAGGTCATTAAGAGAGGACCTCACGTGACCATGATTCCGACTTCCTGCTGGCTTTCCCATTGACTTTGCTTGTGGGAAGCTGGCAGGAAACATCGGAAATCGCAATCACATGACCACGGGGACACTGCAACAGCAAGAACTCCAAGGATGGGTCATAAGTCCCCCTCATTCAGCACCATCGTAACTTTGAACAGTTGCTGAATGAATGGACCTAACCCAAGGATTACTTGCATTTAATTTTATTACAAGTGTTTATATGGCCACCCAACTCAAATAACGCGACTTTGAGCAGCAAACAACAGTAGACAATCAACAAGAAAAAAAATCAAAAGCATAATAAAAAAGTTACTCAAATATGCAAAATGGCAAACTGATAAAATGGATCATAGCAATCAATAAAGGGCTCCTCTAGACCCAAATTTAACTCATTAGTCAGAAAGACTCAATTTAAATTATATTCATTTCACTTCAGAAAAATTCTATAACTATTTCTAGTAACAGTGCATTCTTGTTGTTTGATATAATAGGAATACATACATTTTATTACCCAATGTGAGAGGTAGATTCCATTTTTTGGAGGAATACACTACTCTCGCAGGGTTTGTTTTGTTTTGGAAGCACCAATAACCAGATTGACCCAGACTCAATAAACACAAAAGGCTGGAAATGTGGACAGCTGGTTGGGTTTTTGTATCTCTCTTCAGTGGCTGGAGGAAGACTTTTATTTTACAAAAGGAAAGCTTACCCCCCCCAAAAAAGTAATTTTAAATTAAAAATGCCTTCAACTAATTCAGAAATTAATCTTAATAATTAAAATTATATTCTATTTTAACTATTTTCTATAGGCTCTTTATGTACACTATATTCTTTAAAGTTCAACTTGACAGTATCTTCATATTTTTCTAAACTATCTCTCTCATATATTTGTTAACTGCTGACCTTTGTATTTTCTGTTTCTTAATCTCTGTATATGTCTATTGTCACCCCCTATAGAGCTATACTTTTTTTCCTACAAAGTTCAATCTGTCTTTTATCTTTTTCAGTTTCTGTTTTCTATTTCTGTTTTGTCAAACTCTTTTTCTTCATCTTTTCAACTTGCTTGTTCCTGGCTGGGCTTCTTGACTCTTCTCTTCCCATCTTGGTTCCAGCTGAGGGAAATGGCTAGAAGAACATTTCCCTCAGGCCAGGCCTGAGGGAAGGAAAAAAAGATGCCTCTCTCAGCTGCTGCCTCCTTTCCTGCTGCCTCTTTCTCAGCAGGGCTGTCTATCCTTTAGTTTTATGCTTCATTTTTACTCCTAGACTTTGGCTCCATCTATTCAGCCTCTTCATGAGACCTGGGGCTGCAGAGCTACCAGGCAGCCATCTTGTCTTCCCTTCTCCTCCATGCCTCCTGCCCCACGCTGCTGTTTGATTGGCAGCTGGGTTGTCCTGACGATGGGGGAGGGCCAAGAAGGGAGGGGAAGGAAGGAGCACAGGTGCTTATAATCTGCTTAGGCAGTCTGTCCTTCCACAACCATATAAAGGAATTTTGTCAGAGTTCTTTCAGAATAATTTTCCTCAAAATATTGAATGATGCCCTTAGAATCAAACAAGCACATAAAGGTAGTCCTCGACTTATGTCCATTTGTTCAGAGACTTCAAAGTTACGATGGCGCTGAACAAAGGAAGTTACAACAGGCATCTGAAGTTACAGCCATTGCAGTCCCCCGCGGTCGTGATCAAAATTTGGGTGCTTGGCAGCCCACCTGCACTTATAACCACAGGGGTGCTTCAACTCCCCCCACCCATCTTCCCCTGATCTCTGCCCTTCTGAGTACCCTGCACAGTAGCATTAGTGATGGTGGCAGCACTGGGGCTGAATTAGAAGCCCAGGGCCTTCAGCAGTCTCAGCCGGCTGCCACTAGCCCCCAGCCTCTACTTCAGTCCCAGTGCAGCCGGCACTGCTGTCCTGGCCTAATGACCACAACTGGGACTACTGGAACTGCTGTCACTAAGCAGTGCGGTCATGTGATGTTTCACCTAACAACCACATTGCTTAGCAACAGAGGTTCTGGTCCCAATTGTGGTCACAAGTTGAGGACTACCTATAATATTTGTGAAGTCATGAGAAGCTGAACCAGCTTCAGTTCAATTAATTATTGTGGATGTTTGGGGGATACATTTGCCATGATGCATTAGAAAAAAGCTTCAACAGCTTTAAAACTGTATTACTCCATCACATCAAATTCTCTATTTAACTTCTTTGCATTCATACTTTCAGAAAGAGGTAAGTTATTTCTTATGAGTGTATTAGCAAATATAACGGAGTAGAAATTATGCTCACAACTATATATCTGCAAGATATGTTCATCTCTTTAAAAAATTAAGATTTAAAATCTGATTCCCATTAAAACTTAAAATCAATTTGATTGGTATACAGAGCGAGAGAGAGTGAGAGAGAGAGAGAGAGAGAGAGAGAGAGAGAGAGA